TACTTCTTGTTAAAAACCGCAAGTCCAATTGTTTTGATATTACATATATAGGTACTACATGTGGAACTCTCTCAGATTTGTTCATTTTGTAATGATATCTTTAATTTTGGTGAATATTTTTGTCATTTTTGGTAAAAAGTGAGATTTTCCACTTCTTGTTAAAAACCGCAAGTCTGATTGCTTTTATATTACATATATAGGTATTACATGTGGACCTTGTTAATTTCGTGGTGATATCTTCAATTACTTAATTTTGATGATTATTTTTGTCATTTTTGGTGAAAAGTGATATTTTTGAATTCTTGTTGAAAACAGCAAGGTCCTTTGCTTTGATACTATACATATTGTTCATTTTCTAATGATATCTTCAGTTCTTTAATTGAAATGTGCATTGCTAACAGCGGAGCGATCTCAACCGACAGGCTGCTTGTTGTATTGCCAACTCATTTGACATGATATTTGTGCAGACAATTGTGAATGAGATGGTACTGTTAAAACAAATAAACATTTGAGTTGAACAAAATCAAAATCAGCCAAGTATGCAGAATTCTAATTAGTGCTTTGGACTACAGTTTTTGTCTTTGAGGCTAGTGGGTCTGTATGTGTGTATGTATCTGTATCTCAAGAACCAATCATAAGATTTTAATGAAACTAAGTACATAGATGCTTTGAGATAATGCTCATACCTGTTCTATGCATAATAATTACCTAATTTGCATATCAATTAACCAATTAATAATTTCAGGCTTTTCACTTTTTCTCATGTACATGTACTATTCAAAAGATTTAAAGAGGCACTTCCAGTTAAGCCTAATCTCACAACAAATTTACTTTCTGGATTAAAATTACAATGATAACAAAAGATAGATTAACTTTGTAAACAACATAAACAATAGTGTCTCATGATTCTTTGGTGCAGTCCATGGGATTGAGCGGTTTCCCTTTAAATGAAACTTTCTATATGGATGCTGGGGGATAATGCACAGACCTGATTAGTTTTTGGTTAAAATCCGCACATATTAATTACCTGTACCTGACATGCATGTTAATTAACCAATTAATATTTTGAGGCTTTTCACTTATTTCTCATGGTACATGTATGCTGTGGGATAATGTGCAGACCTGATTAATGACTTAATTTTCCTATTAATTAACCAATTATACACATTTTCACTTGTTTCTCACATACTATTAAACAGATTTCAATGAAACTTGATACTTAGATAATGCTCAGTCCTGATTAGTTTTTGGTTAAAATTCCCTTGCATATAAATTACCTAATTTGCATATTGCTTAGCTAATTTTAGGCATTTTCACTTGACAGATTTTAATCAAACATAGTACATGTAGATGCTCTTAGATAATGCACAGACCTGATTAGTTTATGGTTGAAATCCATAAACTTAAAGACTTAATTTGCATATTAACTAGCCAATTTGCATATAGCCAATATTTAACTTTTCCATCAATAACTGTACCACTCATCAGATTAAATGAAACTTTGTACAAAGATGCTCAGGGATAAGCTGTATACATGTTCAGTTTATTTTTGTGCTTACTAGTTACCTAAAAATTAACTAATTTATAGGTGCTCCAGAGATATCTCGAATACCACTCATCAAATTTTAACCGAACTAGTAATTATAGCATTCCTTATTTGGGTGCTTCATGCCTCCTATAGCTTCAGCACACAGGAGTTCTTTCTTAAGGTTTTCTTGATCTTATTTTATGTCTTGGGACTACCTG